AAAGTTACTCCTAAATTTAATTGCAAATTTTAAGAAGAGAATTCGAAGTAAATTTTTCATCTCTATTTTCTTTCTACTTGGTTAGTTATAGTTAACTGTTTAATTATATCTTCCATTTTGAAGTAAAAAAATTCCTTAGACTTTAACTTTTAAATTTAACAAATTGTTATTCATACATTACAATTTTTGGTTTGGTGATATTTTTGACTTAATAAAAAGTAATGTTTGTATAATAATTCCATGCATAAACAATATGACAACACCTGTTATCATGTTATCGTATTACTTTCATAATTATTTACTTTTTAGGAAATATTTCGAAAAAGTAAAAATAACTCAAGTACGATATGCTGAAGATAATTACCTGAATAATTAAAAATAATAAATAAAGCAAAAATAATTAATTATTACTTCTGAACGAGCATTAGCTTGACATTTAGCAACATTAGTTTGTTGCTTAGGACTTGATTTTGTATCGCCTTTCTTTCGATTTGATGCCTTTCGCCTTAAATGAAATTTTCATTTTTTGTTCAAAATATCAGGAATTAACAAAAATTTTCGAAATTTTTTGTAGCCAATAAAAAAATTTCAATTTCTAAAAATTGTGAAAAACTTTTTAAATAGAACAACAAAAAATACACTGAATGAAAAGTGGGGAGAAAAAGTTAATCGTTGAATAGTAGTACAAATATGATCGTATGCTACTATGACAGTAGTTTTGCGAAATTTTAATAAAATTATTTGTCCAAATAATAGATGATTAAAGTAATAACGATAAATACGATAAAAGTGATGAAGATTATCAAGTTGATTAAAAAAAGAAATGCAAAAAACAGCAAAAGTATAAAAAATAATTCAAATTAGCTGGCTCGTTAAAGTTTTTTTATCAATTCATTAAAAAAAGAAATAATAAAAAAAATTTTTTCGTTTTCGCTGTTTCAAATTTATTTAAAATCTAAATTTAGTTACATTTTTAAAAAGTGACATATAAAAACTATTGGTAATAAAAAAAAACAAAAAAGAAAAAAGAAAAAAGAAAAAGATAACGTTCCACTCTTTTGAGTGATTAATTTTGTTTCAAAGAATCCTTAATTTAAAAGTTGTCAAAATTGAAAAAAAAAGAAAATAAAAGAAAATATCTTGTATGAATAAGACATATTCGATTTTCTTTAATTTGAAAAGAAAAAAAGGTATAAGTAAAATTTTTGATAAAAATTCATACTTTAACAATCGAAGTATTGATTCAGTGAAAAAAAAAGAAATGGAAAAGTTTTTTTTCCAAAAATATTGTATTTAACAATTTCATTTAACCCCATTATTTAATGCCAAAGTGAAGCGTTTGTGACAAGTAACAACAATGACTTCTAATTATTCACTTTCAACATTTTATTCATTCTTTTCTCCATTATCATTTTATAAAATTTACATAGTATTCGTGATAGAAATATTGTTTTTTTTAGTAAACAAATTTTCGTGACAATTCATACATTTCGTGATAATTAATATATTTTGTGATAATTTATGTATTTTGTGATAATTTATGCATTTTGTGATAATTTATGCATTTTGTGATAACTTACATATTTTGTGATAATTTACAAATTTCGTAATAATTAACACAAATGAGCCATTTTTACATGAATAATTCATCCATTGAAACCTTTTTTCTTTTTGATATTGCAAAGATTAATGTGTAATTTGTGAAATTTCTTTTCTGAAAATTTCAAGTGAAACTAACTGCATGTAAATAAAAAGTTTATGAATGGAACAAAATTTACTTTTCTCCTTTTATATGTATTATGTTTATTCTTGTTTGAATAAACATTCTTGTTGTAAATTTAAAGAATATAAAGAATTTAGACAATGAATTCGAATTGATTTGCATTACATATAATATTAATAGCATAATGAAGGTGTCAATAATAAACTAGAATTTAAATTCCTTTTTTTTTTAAATTTAAACAAACGTTTGCTAACATTTTATACATACATCTAGTAGTGTGTATATATGATGCATACAATATATGCAAAATTTAGGGGAAATATAATTTAAAAAAAATAAATAAATGAAAATAATTTTTTTAAGCTTTCCAAAATAAAATTTCAACCAAAATTGTATAGTACAAAAAAGTACTTCATTATATTTACAATAATTTCTTTCATGCAATACCATAATGATTTTTCATTTTTATTTTTTTTAATCATATCAAAGGTAACATTGAACATACGCCAAACTTTAGAACTTTTATTTATATGTAGGAAAAAAGGAAAAAACTAATTTGAACTAAAAATTTTATTTTTGTTATTAAATTTTAAACTAAAATTTTATCTTTTATCTCATCAATCAAAATTTAAAAATTTGAAAAAGATTTTTTTCCTTCGTCACATTCATCATTTAGCACGAAAAGAGATTTGATGGAATACAAAGCAGATCGGAAATTCCGGAATTATTTTGGATCAAAAATCAAATTGATGAATTATTACATCAAGCCTACAGATGAAAATGAAAACAATGCTCATGTAAATCCCATTACATCCAACAATATTCAACTCATACGGAATCAAATTATATCCAAATTATATCCTGGATTGCAATTTTCATAATGGGTTTGTTAATCGCCCTTTGGCCTCATAATCCGTCATTGACTGGTCGCAAATCAGCATCATACTTGGGCCGGGTGAGAAGGCTTTTTCCTTTTTTTTTTGAGCATTGCTGGTAATCTGTTATTACTAATTTTTCTCTTCTCCGTTTGCTCAGTACATTTCTTGCATTATTTATTACTCTCAAGACCCAGTGCTACTTTTTTCAATTTCTATTCCACTAAAAAAACTGAAGTATTTTCTATACTTGAATAGTAATATCTACACTTTATCTTGCTCAGTCTTTTGTATCTTATCGATTTCTACAATCTTATCTCTTAAATTTTAATAATTTCTGTTCCTTTCCAAATTACTTGTTATATTTTATCTTTGTGTGAAAATTGAAATGGTCTAAAAAAAAAAAAGTTTCGTCTGAGATAGCAAATGTTTTCAATCATTATTAGTTTTACAAAGTTAAAAGAAAGATGAAGAGGAGAAACTTTTAAATGTATATTAGCCATTAATACAAATTGTAGAAGAGACTTATTTCAGCTATAGCATGCAATATGAAATGAATGATTTATCATGATAATATATGATATTGTGATAATTATCCGTTGTACGCTTAACGATCACAAAGTAACGTCATAACTTGTAACTGACCTCTTTCACATATTATTTCACTTATTTTTGTTGCATTTCCTTTCCTAAATATCAGCCAAAATTATTTGTATTTTCTGTTCGTACGTGCGCAATTTCAATTCCAAGCGTATGCTAAGATCTTTATGCTTCACAGTTTTCAATTTGATGCACATTCCACGTGTTTTATTTCTGCTTTCATTAAATTTTAATTGTTCATGCAGACACTAAGTGTAAAACCTTTTATGAGTTTGATTTATGATTCAGGTGATTGTCAGGATTACTTTAAATTTGCCTTGTTATTTAAACTAGCTAGAGGTCAGGTATTATTTCTACCATTTCTACCATGATGCTAAACATTTTCGACGGTTCTAAGAAATTTGGATGAAGTTGCTTTGTTACTATCGCTTTTCGGAATTTGTCCTAATATCAATATAGCATTATTTTGCCATGGAATTGTTAACTTACAGTATAAAATCCATAAAGATAAAATATATAAATAAAAAATTGTGTATCACAATCATAACACACTCTCTAATTAAATAAGGAGCAATAAACGCACGTATTGAGACATGTAAGAGATTCTTTCCTAGAATAGTTCTAAAGGGCTTATAGAAGACATATGGAAGACTTGATTTTCCATTAGGATTGTACTAGAAATGTAAGAGACGGACGCGAAAGATTCTTTTGAGCGTTATTTGCTACTCCGTATAATTGTAACTATGATGATGTGAAGATGATTTGAACGAATTTTGTTCATGTGATTTCATTCTTGCAGCTGTGGAAAACATACGTTGTTTATCTGCTCAGTTCAAATGGATTTTGAGAAAACGTGGAATCAAAATCCGGAATATGTGCAATCCTTTGATAAATCCAAAAAGTGTGTGTTCTCCTATATTTTCTTTTTCCTATTTCGGATTCATGATATATCTTGAATTCATTTATTTAAATGACTCTATGACGTCAGATCCTTGGTTTGGTTTTTAAAACATTCGTTAACATGCAGATTTTACTGTACGCATTCTTTACATTATCAGATGTGAACACGACAACCTATATCAGTGCTGTTTTTGATACTGTCTCAGGGTCAAATGAAGAAGGGTAACAGAAATATTCGCTTTTTTTGAACATAGTAGATGTCAAAAAAAAAGTTCATTTGGGTACTTCGGCCGATGTTTTTCTTTCACCAAGATAATTTCATTTGTTGCTGACCAGCCTAAATATCAATTTCTTTTAGGTTACCGAAACCAGGTGAAAAGAATATTTTGATAACATCTGCCTTACCTTACGTTAATAATGTGCCACATTTGGGCAATATTATTGGATGCGTTTTGAGTGCTGATGCTTTTTCAAGGTTATTTCGTATTACGAAATTTTTACCTTTGAAAAATTTTTGCATGCATTTGCTTAATCTATCTTTAATCGATCACCGTTAAGCAATATTTTTTCAAAATTATTTCCATTATTTGAAGTTTGTGGAACAGATAAGTTTCACTCCATTTTTCACCCGAACTGTTACGTTTGATTGCCACTATCCAGTATTGAGGCTAGGACTTTTTTTTCTAATTTTTTTTTACTTTTTTTAAAGGAGATATTAAGCGACGTGCGAAATTTCATTAATTTAGTGAGAAAGTTCCATTTCATTCAGATACTGCTATTTGAAAGGTTGGCGCCGTTTGTTCATTTGTGGTACGGATGAATATGGTACAGCTACAGAAAGGAAGGCAGTACAGGAAGGATTAACACCACGCCAAATATGTGATAAGTATCATGCAATACATGCAAAGATCTATAAATGGTTCAACATCGATTTTGACCGTTTTGGTCGAACAACTACGCAACATCAAACAGAGTAAGTACGTAAATGATAAAATCAGATTGTCGGATAAGCTAATATCAGATGACATTACTGTTAGCTTATACATTTCTGATCTTTCTTCTTTTTACAATCTTTTTCGCTTTGTTCCGTGTATTTTATTGTAGTTAGATTTCATCTCACGTTCATTGGATTTTGGTCAGAATAAGTGATTGAGTATTTGGCATGCACGAACCGCTCATGACTGATCCTTAACTGTGTTCGACATATTATTTGTTGTCGTTAATCTAGATCGCTCTAACAGTAGTCGTAGGCTGCCAGTAAAGCGAATTTTTTGGAATAAAGGATACATTTTTTCTTTGTAAACTGGGTAAATTGTTTCCTTTGTATGTCTTTTTTTCTGTATATTTTCAGACTTACACAAGAAATTTTCCTGAAACTTCATAAGAACGGTTTCACTTCGACCGATGTCGTTGATCAGTTGCACTGTGATAACTGTAACAGGTGAGATATTTTCGTGAAATATGAATTAGGACAAATTATGTTCAAAATACTGCAGTCTCATTCCGGTTTTTTTTTTTTTTTTATGGCGGAAATTACTTGCTGCATCAATTTAGATCAAATAAGAATGATTTGATCTGAACTTTTCAAATATCTATTTTTACTTTTATTGGCTGAACAGAAAATAATATTTTATTCGTTTACATAATCTGGGTCGTATTTGCCTGATTTTAAAATATTTTGCTGTTGCTATTTTGAAATTTTCTTTTTTGTGTAAGAATTTCGTGTAACTATAACACTGTTTCATTTTCAGCACATCATATCAAACTAATCAATTTTTTCATTTCTAAAAAGCTGGTTGCCGGAAAATTCTGCAACTATGAAGAGCTTTTTAAACATGAAGAAAATTGATTGGTTTGACGTAATGCGCTGGAAATTTCAATTGTCTTGTTGAAAATTATCGATAGTTCCAGAATTTCCGTCTGATTTGTTATTTGAAGAAAATAAATTCGTTTTAGGTTTCTGGCAGATCGTTTTGTATTTGGTGAATGTCCGTACTGTCATTTTGATGATGCACGAGGGGATCAATGCGACGCCTGTGGAAAATTAATAAATGCCGTAGAAATAATAAATCCTCGATGTGACTTATGCAAGGCGACGCCTGTTGTGAAACCATCAAGTCATATCTTTCTTCATTTAGATAAATTAGCAGTATGTTTTAAATTTATTTTATCACATGTGAGGTTTTTCCACAATGTTATTTTTAGATATAATTTATTGGGAAATATCAAAAAGCATCATAAAATTTAAGATTTCGGAAGCTTAGTCTTAAATATAACTTTTATGTTGAATTTGCAGTTAAAAAGATAACTAGGTCGTTTTTTTTCAGGGTGAAGTAGAAAAGCATTTAAATAAGCAGCTCAGTTCGGGGAAAAATCACTGGTCAGCAAATGCTATTTCAATTGCAAAAAGTTGGCTGAAAGGTGGTTTGGAAAGGCGCTGTATAACTCGCGATTTGAAGTGGGGTGTACCCGTCCCAATCGATAGTTTCTCAAATAAAGTATACAGTTGTTATTTGCCCGAATCAAATTATTGGATTTCAATTACATGATTATTTTCCCTCAATAACTATTGTTTTTCCAGAAGATAAATTTCATTTGACTAACTGTTGTGTAATAAATTTGTAGAGGGATTATCTTTAGCAAAGAAAAATATTGTAAATTCACCACTGCTTGTATTTAATTTTCCCTTTCCATTATTTGCTGAAATTAAGCCCTTCCAAAGCAGTAATTTTTTTTAGCTATGCCATTCTGTTGGTTTTAAAACGGAAAACCATAAATTAGTCAAATGTGTTATACTTAGTATAATCAATATTCCAGGTATTTTATGTTTGGTTTGATGCACCAATTGGTTATTTATCAATTACGAAAGAATACTTAGGAGAAGATTGGTCACAGTGGTGGAAAAACCCAAGCATTGTGGATCTCTATAATTTTGTTGGAAAAGTAAGTTTTCAAAGATGTACATTTTGGTTTGGCATGAAGAAAAAGAAAAGTACTGTGGATGAATTGTCATTTCAAGTTGAGATATTACTGAATTCCAGTATGCTTTCTGTGCTATCGTTTTTAATAGATTTTCATAATTGTTTGATCATATTGAGTTTCCTGCTTTTTTCTTAAGACTATTTTTCCTTTTCATGATAACGTTGCGTTCCATGCTGTTATGTTCCCTGCCACCCAAATTGGTACTGGTGACAACTATACCATGGTTAATCGTCTATGCGCAACAGAGTACCTAAATTACGAGTCTACGAAGTTTAGCAAGTTGGTTTTGTATTCTTATTTTACATCTTCTGGTTAATAATGCGATGATGAGAGTCGATAACCATTCAGTTTATTGGCAAATGATTTTTTACAAGTTATAATTTTCGTAAGTTATAATTACAATTCTTCTAACTTTCGTACATTTTTTTTACATATAACTGATGAATGCCGACATTCAGATCGCGTGGTACAGGAGTTTTTGGCGATATGGCTGCAGAAACTGGCATTGATGCCGATATTTGGCGATTTTACTTGTTATACATTCGCCCCGAAACACAGGATACTTCGTTTTCCTGGGATGATTTCTCATTAAAGGTATCGGTTTTGTGGTTATTTTTCCGCAGATCATCAGGACCGTCACTCATCACATCTGAAATTTAATGGGATAACATCCAGATGCTGTTTTACTTTAGGGCGATAGTAGTTTGTAGCTAGCAGGCTCTTAATAACTAACCATTTAGTAATTGCATTTGAGAATATAAAAACTGGTCTTAGAGTAAGTAAGAAATAAATTTCTACAAATTTCAGGTCAATACGGAGCTTCTGAATAATTTGGGCAATTTTGTGAACCGCGCATTAATGTTCTTATCCAAATATTTCAATGGTGTGGTACCGGATATGTACCTCGAGGAAGAGGACAAAGCATTATTAGCACAGGTTGCATCTGACTTGAACGATTTCGATTCATGTCTCAGTTCGGTGAAACTTCGCGATGGTATCGTGAAAGTCCTTTCTATATCAAGACATGGTAATTTATATATGCAGTCAACACAGCCATGGGTTTTGCTCAAAGGAAATGAAAATGACAGGTAATTGCATTATTACATATATCAGAATTAATTCTGACCCATCCATGCACGATGCAAAGTTTTTAGCGAAGCGTAGAGCCGAAGAAAATGGAGTGAAAATTTGGGGAACTGTTTTTGTTCCAAACTAAAGCCAAGTTTTTTTTCTTTCAAAAAGCAAACTTGTAAGATATTGCTTATTACAGACATAACGATTTATCACAATAAATCGTAAAGTCACAATAAATTGTTAATTCTATGATAGACGAACAGTAAAAGTCGAGTAAATCATTAGCTTGGAACAGGTAAGAGAAATGAAACTGTGTTTATTTTAGCAAGAGATTATTTTTAGGAGACGAGCAGGTACCGTGATTGGTGTGGTAGCAAACTTAACTTACCTAATCGCGGTTATGATTTATCCTTACATGCCGTCCATTAGTGAAAAGATACGGGAACATTGTGGTCATCCGACATTGGCTTTGCTGCCGAGGACTCCAATTGCGTTCTTAAAACCTGGTCATAAAATTGGCGAGGTTAGTGTTATTTTTAATAAAATTGACGAGGTTAGTGTTATTTTTACATATATTTTTTCCTTTGACAATCATTTTTCTTTCCTCTTGATTTTGTTCATTAAATATCAACACTTTATGTTGTGTCTTCCGATATTTTATTTAGTCCCCTGTTATTAAATCTCTTTTTACCAATAATTTATCAGAATGCTAGACATACGTTGTGAAGGTTTAATGCAAATTACAAAGATATTGTGTTGCTTATCATTTAGCCAAGTTCCAAAGAAATTAATTCATCCGTGAACTGAACTAGTAAACTTGGTATATATGGGAAATTCTCAGAACACTGGTATCGTGATCTTTATGAAATTGGCGCAGTATCTTGCCTAAGCTTTTCCTATTCGTAATCTGAGAATTCTTATGCAAATATTAGAATTAATAAGAGGAGAAAAGATCCTATCCTAAAAATACACACAGGTATATATATAGCATATGCTTTGATACAAGTTGAAGTTAGTTTATTCACATTTGTAATGAAAATAGACTGAAGAGAGAGCTCATGTTTCAGCTACCATTTATCATTGTGTTCTTTAGACTAGTTATGTCACCTGAACTTTAAATAAATTCAATGTAAAAAGAATAACTGAGCTGCCTGCATTAACTCATCAATAAATTATAAAGAGTTATATTCTTGGATTGGAGGGAGATTGTATTATCGGGCTTAAATACTGGATAGGTCGGGCGATCAGTTTGACGACTTATATCACGAGACAGTTCAAAATGGGCAAGCAAATTCATGTACTTAGAAGCTATGTATACGGGACTGGTCTCAAAGTAATGTTGGTATTTGTCGGAAGTAATAGCACAGATCATGCGTTGAAAATATGAGGAAATTCCTTTTAATTAATGGGTTTACTATCAGAAATTTGCTTCGCTGTTAGAAATGATAACGAAATGTTCAAATTTACTTTAAACGAAAAAAGAAAGATGGCAATAATCAGTATGAACCACAGAAACAACTTCTCTTTTATCGTCATCAATCGAATGAATGATATTCTTTTGCAGCCGAAACCGTTGTTTGTGAAAATGGAAAAAAGTACAATTGATGATTTCAAGAAAAGATTTGGTGGTGTCGATGAATCAGTTGTTAACGAACAAATGAAAAAAAGAAATTAGTAAATGAGGGGAAGAAAAAAGCTAAAAACGAAGAGAAAGGTAATAGAGGATTGATTAAAAACGAAGAGAAAGGTAATAAAGGATTGAGTAAAAGTCAGTTCGTAGGAATGATTCACTGTCATAGTGGTAGCGATGGTAGAATTTTGGCAGCTGTTGCTATTGCATTAGGCATCATAAAATAAACTGCTCAATTAGTTTCTTTGTTTTTTGTTTTTTTTGTTTTTTTTTTGAATTTGGCTTTTTTTGTTCTTATTTTATTTATTGGTTTGAACGGTTTTTCCCTTTTGCTTCCGCATGGATATGAGAAAAGATTCAGATAAAGTAAAGATTGGGACTAAGGGAAATTGTAGTTGTTTTTATACGACAGTCAGAGAATGAATGAGGAAACGCAAGGTTTCACATAAGTTCACTAAAGGACTATTAAAATAAGTATACGAAGGAGGAGAAACATAGTAAAATATGTGTAGTACAACTGGATGTTTATTGGGCAATAGATATGATAAGCGAATTTTCTGAGTTTGGATTTGTATTTCCGATTTTCGTTAGGGAAGTGGAATTTGTTTTTAAAAATTTCCATTACTGCTTTTCACTTTTCTTGCAGATATGGCATCATCGTCCCTTTATACGAAATTGTTAACTAACCAGAAGAAAATTGATTCTTTATTGGAAGTCGCAAGTATGAAGCTTGAACAAAGAAGTAATGTTTTTCAGTTTTCCAATTTTATTTTTCGTATTTGAAGGAAAAAGTGACTTCAGTGTTCATATTTTGTTGGGATTTCAGGAAGTCTGTTCGAAAAGTTAAAGGTTCAAGAAGAGAATAAACAAACGCTCCAATTAGAGGCAGAGATTGAACGACTGAAAGCGAAATTAATTGAAATGGAAACACTGGGCGGAAGTCAGTTAATTTTTGAAATTTGCAAATGTTGAATTTTACTAAAATTTGCCGGTTTAGAAATTTTTTGTTGCAATCTTCGTTCTGATATTGAAGAGTTAATGGGCGAAAAAGTCTTATTTCTGGTTTTTTGGTATTTAGTACAAAGAATAATAGTTTCACAGATTTATAAAATATGTTGTAAGCATTTATGATAAGCTTATACTTAAAATCATCTTTAACATACGGATAAGAAGTGCATCTTACATGAGGTTTTTACCCTATGCTTTGGCAGTTCATTTGAAATTCAGTTAAGAAATAACATAAAATGAAACTGTTGTCTTCTCACATTTTTACACTATACTCCTCACAGGTACTTGTTTCAGTTATTATAACGCATCATTTGTTATGACAGCAAACTAACTTCTAAAAAAAAAGCACTATTTGAATTTCATTGTTGAATTTTATTTCCCGGTTGTAAGGTTTTCAGCTGGAATGAAACACTAATAATTTTCAGTAAAGCAGGTCAATATTCCGAAGTTTAATAAAAAAAATTTGCTTACGGGAAGTAGTAGTGACACGATCCCAGTGGTTCAAATGGAAAAGGCGAATGAAAAGGATATGAATGAAGTGGAAGCATTACAGAGGGAAGTAAAAACTAAAAGAAATGAAGATACAAAAAGTAAAAAGGAAGCAAAAGTGACGGAGGTTTATTTTTATAATTCAATTCTAGAAGGAAAAATTTCATATTTTAGTGGAAATCAAAACTAGGATGCAAGCCGGCGATGGAACAATCTGAAAGTGTTTGGTATGATTGATAGAGTTAAAAATGATCTGAGTTCTTTAATTTATTCGGGTATACTGTCTGGACGGTTCTTTTATTTATCCTTCTGAGAGAATTTATAATTTCCAAATCATGCGATGATTGCGGACTTTTTTATACCTTCGCTTTCACTTTCCACTGCTATGACTGATACTACTGATCTATCGCTTAAGCAACTTTGACCAAAATATCTTGATAATTATGATACTATCGTTTTCTGATCATAGTCAAACAATTTTCTCTGTTTTAATATTTGCATTGAAATGCAGAGGTCAAAGGTGATGAAGCAATTGATATTGGTCGCTTGGATATACGAGTTGGTCGAATTTTGAAAGTAGAAAAGCATCCGGATGCGGATAGCCTGTATATTGAACAAATAGATGTTGGTGAAGATAAACCTCGTACCATTATCTCTGGTCTTGTGCGACATGTCTCTATTGAACAGGTGCAACTCATGCGTTATTTATTTATGAGGATGTTGGAAATTAAAAATTAATTACTGCCTTGCCAGATTACAGTGTACTTAATGGAATGGGTAAGTGTTCCACTCCGCAATCAAAAATATGCACTACACCGAATAGCCTGTATTTCTTTATTCTCTTGTGAAAACTGAATTTTTTGTATATCTCGTGTATATCAGTTCGTAAGTCTTACACTTGCTCTAAACGTAGCTGGACTGCACTTCTGCTTATATAATTTTTGGAAATATTGCAGATGCAAAATCGACTTGTAATATGTCTTTGTAATTTGAAACCAGTGAAAATGCGTGGTATCGAATCGCAGGGAATGGTTCTGTGCGCTTCTACTTCTGAAAAGGTTGAACTGATTGAGTTTGATGAAAGCTGCATTCCTGGACAACCGGTAACCTGTGAAGGATACAAAAGACGACCGGATTCTATTCTAAATCCAAAGAAGAAGATTTGGGAAGGTGTTGCACCTGATCTGAAGGTAAATTGTGATGGTCAAGTTGTTTACAAAGGACAACCACTGTTAGTCAGTGGTATATCACCGTTAGTAGCGCCTAGCTTACGAAATGTACCTGTGAAATGATTGTTGTATTTTTCTTTGTCTTGATAGCTTTTGTTTATGGTTCGATGAATTTTCCAGGGCACAAAAAAATTCGGTCTTCTAGGTGAATTTTGATGAATTTTACAAACTTCTTGTAAATTTCGAACGAAATTTTCGTTTAATGAAAGTTTACAAGAAGTTTTGTTTGACGACTGTTATGCATCTATTTCCATAAATTATTGGTGTTGTTATTATTATTATCACTTTAGTATTGCTATTACTATTGCAATTAATAATAATAATGTACTGTCTCTTTTATTCTAAATAAATTGATTTTAACAATCATTGTATCATTTGTTAGACAAACTTGATCAATTTTAATCGATAAATATCTATCTCTGCAATGCGAGCTGATATTTTACGGACGGTATTCAGCGAATCAAATGAGGAACAAAAGTTGTATATTGAAATGGGTAGTGATGGTATGATATGGTAATTCTGAGATTTACTTTCTTTCGAAGAGGGGAGTTTTGAATTTTATTCCAATTTTCTGGAGGAGAAACACAATGTTTAATTAGCTTCAAGGTGTTCTGCGATAATTATAATCATCTCGATGAACTGTTTCATGTGTCAGCAAAAAGTTTCGGTTTATTTTTTGTTTGTGGGGACCTATGCTGATCTTTCTTAGGTGAATGTTAAACGGGTTGGTGATATTCTAAAATTGTGGTTATGCTTGAATAATAACCTTTACAGGTTGATTCTGTCCTTTATTTTTTATTCTTTTGTAATGCTGAGATGTTTCGTAATTATCTAATAGAATTGATACCGAAAATAACTTAGCACCTGTAGTTTTTTGACATACCCTTTTATTATCGTTCAAAAAAGGAACTGACGGCATTGATTCGTATAAACTTCGAGGACGAATTTTTCGATCGTTTCACTGGATTGCAAACATTTCTGCTTTTCCAGACAAACAACTTGCATTATCAGTATGGAACAAAAGAAGCTAGGAAATAAGAAGAAAAGGAAAAACGGAAGTATGGATGATGAAAGATTTAAGACGGTTTTAAACGATCCACGTTTTGACGCATTACCAAGGAAAGAGAGGAAAGTAGTGGTCGACGAAAGGTAGATTTCCTGATATTTGATGCAAATTATTCTCTTTTCATCTTACATTTTTATAGATTTACACTTTCTGCTCAAATTTTAGAGCCATAGGATTTATTTGCTTTCTTTCAAATAATGAATTGTATATCGGTAAGGTCAGTGAAGGGCGTTGAAATAGCAACTTTAGAACAATATTCTAAAATCACATTTTTTGAAGACATAACAACGTTACGTGTCTTTGTGATGTCGCTATACCATCATATAAAATGTGATGCCCGATAGTTCTCAACAGCAAGCATAATATACAGCAAAAATTATAGCAAATATGATATAAGCTCTGCAAACCTGGAGCAAACATATAATGCGGGATCAGGTTAACTAAAATTTATTTGCTGTACTTTTATATTTTATCAACGCGAAGAAATCTGTGAAAAAAAAGGGTGTTTTTTATAGTTCTCTGAAACAAAGATAAATAAATTAGGAATACTTCTCGAGGAAAAAACTTTTCAAAAAGAAAAAAAGAACTTATTGTTGAGTCCTGAATCTTATTCTGTTGGAGCTGTAACGCATGTTAAAATTCATACTGATCTGAAACATATCTATGTTTTCCTTCATCTCATTATCCTTTGTGTAAGCAGTCAAACTTTAAGAAATTGTAACGCATGTTAAAATATCCTTTTTCATGCCGGCTCCAAAATTTCCACTTTTCTGACTTGCGGAGTTTTCAGGTTTAAAGATATGCTAGCAAGTGAAAAATTTGCGCCAAAGAGTAACGTGGACATGCGCGGACGATGCGTCAATTTGAGACCCAAAAATGATTTGACTGTTTTATATGAATTGCCAAGTGATGATGGTAGTTCGGGTGTTGAATCAGAAGAGAAAAAGAAAATAAAGATTGATTTAGCTCGTGGGAATGGTAACATAACGTCGAGTGACGAAGATTCATCTTCCGAATGGGACTTGGAAGAAGTAAGTTTTCCTGTACCACTTTAGTAGTTAACTTTACGCGCGTTATTTTGTTATGTGAGCTATTGCTTATGTTTTCTTGGTGTCTTTCCCAATGTATTGTATGTCAATTCTAGTATTCGTCTTTTAATTTCCTGTCATTCAGCGGAGAGGTAGGAGGAACAATAAATTGTTGCTAATATCTAGAAATTACTGATCAAACATAAATCTCACTAATTATTAAAGGCGGCGATAACATTTTTTTGGATTTACTTCGTTATCATTCTCATCAAAATATCCAATTATGTTGTTCAGGCAGCAGAAGAAATGCATGATTGGGGTGAAACTGATAAGGATGCTTGTCGAGTTGAGTGGGCATCTCGTCGTTTGGCTTTATGTAATATGGAATGGGATCGAATTTCGGCTACTGATATTTTTGTTATGATATCCTCATTCAAGCCACCTGCACCAGCTAGTAGGTCTTTTCGGATATTACGATGAGTTCTCGATGAAAAGGAACTGTGGATTTCTCTTTTTGTAACAAATGACTGTTAGACGAATTGAAAAAAAAAAAGAAAAAAACTTTTTTTTCTAGCTATTCAGTCAGTGACAATATATAAATCGGATTTTGGCCAGAAACGTTTAGAAGAAGAAGAACGTATGGGGCCCAAACTGATTAAACTGAAGAAACCAGTTGAGGATATCGAAGAAATGGATGAGTAAGTTCTTCGTATTCCTCATTTTCAAAGCCGGATGAAGGTATAAGGAGGGATAAGTAGAGAGTGATACTTCATACCATATACATTTATTTATTTAATCGAATACTACATTGATTTTAGCACTCTGAAATATATGTAGAAATTCATTGAAATATGAAGATTACCTATATGTTATTTGTCTGATGAATGGAATATTCTCTTGTCTCACTTCAACAACATTTGATCCAGTAGAATAACCTTGCAGAGAAACTCGTGAAGCAATGAGAGCTTATCAGTTGGAAAGAATGAGATATTATTATGCTATTATTGAATGTGATGGAGTGGAAACAGCCTCTTGTCTCTACGAGGCATGTGATGGTGTCGAATTTGAAAGTAGCGCTGTACATTTGGATCTTCGCTTTGTACCCGATGATATGACTTTTGAAGTTTGCTTTAAATCTTTTGATTCTATTGGATAAAAGTAGATCATATTGATAGTGCTTAAAAGTAAAGCAGTGGTTCACCGCCTCTTCACATCATTAGTTGTTACTTGTCTTGATTATATAATGATTACATTTTTATTCAACTGTTGCATTCATAGAAACCGATACCTCAAGAATTTATCCCAGTAATGCTGAGATCCTAAAATAATACTCCCCCTATCATCTATTACTTAGCGAATACATTTTTCATCGAAGTGCTAAATATTTTCAGAACAATTCAGTGAAGGAGCGGGTTACTGCTGAGGATATCAATTTGAATGTGTTTAAGCCCAAGAATTTCGAAAGTGCGGCTTTATCAAAGTCGTCCGCTAAACTTACGTGGGATGAAACAGATCCAGAACGTATCAAAGCGGAACGCGATGCATTTCTTCCAGATGCGGATCTTGATCAAGTTCAGTGAGTACTGTTGAATGTACAAAGTAAATATATTGTTATTCAGTTGATGGGATTTTGCATTTTGGACAACTCTGATCTGATCCTAGGGTTTTCGCAAAGTTTTATTTCATTTGCAATTTAACATGTTAATCCTTTGTGTTCTCAAAAATAGGCATTTATTGGCTCCATGTTCGTCTGATGAGGAGAACGATGAAACGGGGAAAAGTATGGTGTTATTGAAAGAAGCTGAAACAGAAGCTTCCAAAAAAGCTGATTCGTTGATGGAAGTAACGTGGGATGTGGAAATGATGGATGATACGATTTTGGAAAAGAAGACGAAAAAATTTGGTGAACCAACACCTTGGGAAAAATATCTTGAGAAGAGGAAAGCTAAACGCAAAGTTAGTTTTTCAAGTCTAATATTTTGATGTATGTTGATGAACTATAGTGATCACCATTATTCTTCTGAATAACGCTATTTTGCGGTTTTGAATTGAATGTAGAAATAACTGCCAAAAATATCCGAATGCATTTTGACTAAATATCAATGATTCTGTAATCTTAATTTAAAAAAAATTGACGGAAAGTTACTAAAAGTTCCAGTGATTTTTTTTAAGGAACGAAAAGCTATGATTGCTGATTTGAAGAAAAAACAAAGAGAAGAAATAGTCGAAAACACTACTGAAAATAATATTAAGTCACTAACAAAAAATAAACTGAAAAAAGATGTCAATAGTGATGAAAGAGATTATATCGATGATGAAAGGTAATTTCTTGACAAATTCATTTCCATATCCAATTTCATGCATCTCATCGTCTTTTATCAGATTTATTTATTAAACCAAAAAAGACAATTGATCATAATACGTTTTAGTGATGATTTTGAGAGTTCAATGATATTTCATACCAGAGCTTTTGACTTTTCAATTTGAGAGTTCAGGACTTGCATTACATTTCCAACTCTCTTTTCCCTAGCTTTTTATCTTTAGTATAAGCAGGATTTGCAATCAATATCAGAAGCAATAAGCAAAGGAATTCTCAAGTTCACTTTATAAGAGATAATTATGAATCGATGTGATTGATGTTGTTTTTTTAAGATTCAAAGCTTTGTATAGCAACAGTGCTTTCGCCGTTGATCAATCTCATCCTCTCTTCAAATCATCCAAACTCGCTCTAAGACAGGTTATCTTTTGTGTTTTCAAATTTCGTTTTGAATATTTGGTGTTTGTTAAGTTTTCCCAGATCTCTATTCAATTCTCAACTGCAACATTAGTTATCATTCAGTGGACAAGAATATGACTTGCGAGCTGTTAATCTTCATTTTATTTTTCATTAATTGTAAGCTATATTCTGTATATTCATAGCTAGGAGGAGCGCCAACTTAAAAAAAAAAAAGTGGAAATCATTTAGATCGAGTAAACGCTTGTTCCATATTATTAATTCTTATTATTCATCATGTTAAGCCTCACTTTTTTTTTGTTTGGTTGGAGCAAATTTTGCATATAATCACACGAAGTTGTTGGTTCCCATATGTTGGACACTACTTTTGTTTTTTAATATACATAAGTGTTTTGCTGTTAATGTAAATAGTCATTTTTAGCAAAAAAAACAAAAAAAAAAGAAAAATCCAACAGTCAATTATACAAGATAGTTGCAAAGAAAATGCATTGTTAGAAAATGCATTGTTTGTATTTTGTTGCAATAGAAGCATTTTTTTTAATTTATTTTTTCAGGCTGAAGAAAAGCAGAAACGTAGAGCCAGTAGTCCATTCGACGATAACGTCGAAGCATTAGCAAATAAATTGAAGAAAAAAGCAGCTGATGCGAAGAAGTGGAAAAAAATTTATTAAGACCTTCTTTAAAATAACATTTTCCACGAAAATCGAATTTGTAGCTGTCCGTACTTGTCATCTTTCCATATACACTTTTTTCTTTTCTAATTTTAAATTTATGTTATCTGATCTTTGGTCCTTGAATTTTGAGCGCAAGCTGAAATGCAGTGATCAATTTTATGGACATGTCTTGTGTGATCCATGTTGTTGTATTCATGGGGAATCATTCCAGATCTCTGACCACAGGTCCGTTGTTTTGCAAAAATGTTCAAGTTCAAATACAAGAAAATATTTTTTTTCTAGGTCTGTTCTATTCAGGAATTTCTGTCAGTCTGGGCTTTTTATTTTTGTTATTTGTAATGAAATTTGTAATTATCACATTTTTTTTGCATAAAAAAGAAAGCGTAGTAAAGGACTGATAATAGCAGAAAAAGAATCACAATTACTGCATATTGGTAGCTATCAATTTTATCATTGTGATGTTTGTTATAATGATTGGATAAGTTCTATTTGTCATAACTTTGTGCAATACATAAAATATACTTTGACACTGTTAACATCTTACATTGTATGTTCGCTTATATGTCTGTAATAAATCAAAATTTCTATGCTTATAACATTTGTTCACTATATTATAGTTGAGTAAATAAGTAACGAAATAAAATATGAAATCGATACTGTATTATCATTTTACAAATACATTAACAAAAAATGAAAAAGCACATTTGCAAAATGGTGATATCTTTATCATCAGTAAGCTCCTTTTCTTTTTTTTTTTTTTTTTATTATCAGGATTCCAATTAAACAATATGAAAGCATTTGTTTTGTTTTTTACTTTCGCTAAATTATTGTAAAGTATCGGAGTAACAAACAGAAAATAATCTTTTGAATTATATTTTTCTACACGAACAATGATTGCTTGATTGTATGTTTGTGATGAGTTAATTTTTAATTTATCTATTTTCTACACTTATAAATTGATTTGATAAATTCAAACGTCAAGCATTTTTCTTTTCTTCTGACAAATTTAAAAGTATCCAGTATTTGCTTATTCTTATAAAATATTAATTGAACATTTTTAAAAATATTGTTATATTTGAAATTATTTCAAAATTTAGCTAATGATATACTTTTTTTTTCTATAAATATGGATTTGATATTTGATTCATAAAAATATTTCCGGGAAAAAAAATGAAAAAAAAAAACGACAAATTACTTCAGATGATTTTATGGATGCAATTTGAAATGATATTTGGAAAGTTTCATGCAGAAAAAAAAAATGAAAAATATCCATTTGGGAATATATGCATATCATACAATTATTAATTTTTATAATTTCAATGATTCAATGATGAATAGCAAATTAAGTTTTGTCTGAGTTTTATTTAAATTTTAATGATAAAATTTAAAAAAGGAAGCAAAAAAGCAAAAACAATAACGAGTCGATTTGTTATCAATTATATAATTTACATCTATAAAGTTTGATTATTATTGGAATATCAGAATAGCAATGGGAAAAAAACAAAAGGAATAAAACAAAAACATAATCAATAATTATCAAAAAAAAGAAAAAAACTACTACTATAATTATAGCTGATTAATTTTGTTGGAAATTTCAAAAACATATGTTTACATATTAATTACATTAATTAATATGTTAATTTGTTATCGATTTAAATTTTCAATAATATTTTTTTTCTTGTTTTCTTCTTTCTTTTTTTTCTGTAAAAAATAAAATAAAATAACAAAAAGCATCATTATCAACGTTGCTAATATCATTAATCATTATCGACCAATCATTATTCCTTTTTACACAAAAACAAATTCTATCAACATATTAGCAATAGTATGCAGTTTCATGTTGTTGTATGTAATCATCATCGTCATTGCTATCAATCTTTATCATTGGTATTATCATTCAGCTTTTTTTTCAACTACATTTTAATAATTACCATATTAAATTATATTCTATTACTTCATGTTAATAATACCTTTGATGCTAACAATTAAATGTGAATATATTATGTAATTTTTCATCAAATTGCATTGCATTACTTATAGTCATTTCAAAGTTATTTTAAATTCGTATTTTGATTAATTGAAATAAATTAAATTGCCTAAAAATGGAAATTGATTGCAATCATTATTGATGAGAATAATTGCTAATGAAATATTATATGGCATAAGCAAACAAAAATTTTTACAATTAAAGATTAAATTTCAGTATATTTCATGTAGTTAAATTAATTTTCATCTTTTCGATATTTTTTGGTGGTACAGTAATCATCAAATATATTATGATTTTTTCATGATGACGTTAATTTTAAGTTAAGATTTTTAAAAAATTAAATTTCAACATTCTACTTTACCTTTTTTTTCCCTACATTCTATTACCATAATAAATTTTGATCATTTTCTTTTATTGTCGTATCTTTTTCATCCTTATCTTTCCACTGTCTTTCTTACATAATTTTATCTCTACAACTATTCCATCACCATTTCACTTCTCCATCTTTCCATATGCATTAATAAACTTTTCTGCAGGTGCTTTCTATTTGTTTGAAAAGAACAGTAATTTTTTATTGCATTGCTACAACAACAGCAACAATAACAACAACAATAACAACAATAACAACAACAAGCAATAGTCGTTTTTTGCCTAATAAAAATAAAAACTAAAAATCCTTTATATTAGTGCAAAAAATATTCATTCATGTTTACTGAACAAATCAAATAAAACAATTTATGGGAGGATTTTCATTTAACACAGAAATAAATTGATATTACGGTTTATAATCCGGTTTATTTAGCAAAATTGATATTTAGCATGTTAGATGATTCCATTAAATGAATTCATATTGTAATTCAAGATAAATGGTAAATGATGCAATAGATGAATGGATGATGGTATCTCATTAATCTAGTCAGTCTTTTTTCATCTTCCCATTTATATTATGCTAGTTTTTAATTAATTCGAATTTCTTCCTTTTGTCAGTTTTGTTTAATTACCTCAATCCATTTAACAATTTCAATCATTGAAACATCTAGTAGCACATGTTTTAATTCGTCTGTCAAATTTTACATTTTGTTCTTCTAAACTCGTCGTTATTTAAAAATCTCAACTCATAAATTAAATTTTCATTTTCATCTTTTTTTTTCATTCTGATTACATTTCATTTTCTTAGATAATTATTTGCTATCAAAGAAATTATTTGAAATTATGGAACGGAAATTTGTAAAAAAAACATCCTTCAAAAAAAAAAAAGAAAGAAAAATCAAATTTTCTTTCCATTTACTCAAATTTTGCATTTATTTATAGGTTTTTTTAAAAAAGTCTTTTAAAGGAAATTTTATATTTATTTATAGGTCTTCTAAGAAATTCTTTTAAAAAAGAAATTTATATTTATTTATATGTCACTCCTATCAATTTAAGATAACTCTATCATAATATAAATACTTTTTTCTTTCCTTACTATTATCATATTATATCATTTTAATGCATTTCTATATGTTTGTTGTTTAGAATGATTAAAATTATTTTGTAATTTTAATTAAATGCAATTTGAGTTCAGTTTCAAAGAGAATACAAAGATTACTAAACTTCACATGATTAGACAAAAAGTAAAAGAAAAGAAAACATTTCAAGAGCAGCCATTTAATAAATTATTTAATAGTTCTGTTTTTGTTTTTTTTTTTTGAAAGACATAATATTTTTTTACTTATTTTCCTAACTAATAAAATAATATTTTTCAATTTTTAGATAATGCATTTGGATATAATGTTTGTTGATTTTTTCACTTCAATACATTTTAATTTTCTTTTTCTCTTTCTCTCTCTTTTTTTTTCTTATTTGATAATTAACTTTGTAAAGTGCTTCATTGGTTGCTATGGATAAAAGTATAGCACACCTTGAAATATATCATCTTTGCATCATTTAACAACTGATCAAATGATTGCGAAAGAAGCAAAAGTTAAGAAAATTAATCTTTAGCCTGCCATCTATTTTATTATCATCAATTAACAATTATCATTTTATACTTTCATTAAAATGAATAAAGCATCCAAATTTTTGCTGCTTATATTTTATATGAATTAATTATCTTTAATAAATTGCTACTATCTTACTATCGGTAATTATTAGTTATTTGTTATTATTAATATGCTAACCAACTAATTTATTGATAATCTATAGTATCACAATAATTATTCTTGTAATGATGAAGTTGCACCAATGCAAAATAAATTTCAATACTTAAAAATTAAATTAATTAATGTTAGACAAGGAAAGAAAACTATTTGTTAACTAATTTAATTATCGCATGTAGAATTTTTTAAATTTTAATCATACTCAAATTTGAAAAAAAGTGTAATAAAAATTATACGATGATAAGGAATCATTTTCAATTTTATAAATTCATTTCTCTAATTTAATTCGTCTAAAATTTATAACAGAAATAATCAGCGTAAAATTGAAATAGCATTTAACTTCGAATATTATCAATTATCACTTAATTTAACAATTCAATTAATTAACATTAGAAAGGAAAAAAAAACCATCTTTTAATCTTTTAACTTATCCCATGGATTTCTGACGTGTATATACGTGAATTGACGCAACATATATACATTACGTATACGTATGGATATTTTCGTATGCGTATATACGTGTATCCATATGAGTAGATGTACACGTTTGTATGCTCATGCATGCATGTATGCGTGATAAATGCAATGAATTTTAGGTGAAATTGGAGAACGTTATTAATAGTCCGAAATATTTTACTTTATTATAAATCTATTTTATAATTTATATAAATTTTTAATTTACTTCATAAATTTATTCATATTTGCTTATTAGTTTGTTGATTTACTTATTTGCAATATTAAATTATTTTTAACGTATGTAATTTATGTTTACACTGACAAGCTCTTATGTTTTGACGTCAAAGCGTAATATGCCTTTATTTAATTGTTAGAATAAGCATATGACAATTTAATTTAATTTATTTTTTGATTTAAATTAGCAATTTTTGAGTGATATAAAATGATAAAAATGTAATTGCAATGAAGCTATTGTAATATTTAAAGTAAAGCAAAAAGAAAAAGTGAAATAAATGCATTTTCTTTTCATTTGTTTATCATTAATTTAATTTAAATTAATTCTATTGTTGATATCTTTTTAGTTTATTTCGGATTAATTTCACAAATTTTCTCATATTTCCATTAACAAACACAATTATATTTCTTGTAAGTTAGTTGCATGTTCAAAATTTAATGAAATTATCAACAATGATGTCATCTGGATAAATGACGTCAAACATTGTTTAATTTATTTGAAAGTTTAATTAAAAATGTACCAGTCATTTTTGCTTCAGAAGTACACTGTAAGATATATTTAAACTTTGTTATTTAATAGGAATTTGGACAAAAATAGTGCAAGAGAAAATGATATTAAATAAGCGAACAATAATTAATTAACAATATATATATATATATATATTTAATTAACAATATATATATATAATTAACTGATATATATATATATATATATATATATATATATATATATATATATATATATATATATATATATATATA